ACGTTAAATTAAATGTAGTCTATAAATGTCATTAATAGTGGACGTGAGTAACCTGTTCTGTTTCTCAGTGTCCAGCATTCTCTGGATGTCTCTGGTTCTCCTCTCCGCCTGGTTCTTCTCGTCCTCCAGAGTCGACCTCCAGGCTTCCCACTGCCTCTCCTTCTCCAGCAGCTCGTCGTTCAGGGTCTCCAGCCTCCAGCACCTGCTCCTCCAGCAGTCGTGCAGGTGGTCTTCAGGGTCACCTAGGTTCTGAGGCAAAACAGGGTTTATATAAGAATACCTTTTATACCCAAACTGTACCAAGTAAATATATCAAGTCAGTCATTGACAGCAATAAACACAGCTTTATAAAGGAGAGAAAGGATGTCATATATATTCATGGGACAAACACCCCTCTAATATTCAAAAATGCTCAACATGTTAAGCACAATATATTGCTAAGAAATGTAAATAAATAAGAGTACAAAAATACCATACTTATAAAATGGACTGACCGATTGACTTAGCAGTGACAATATTAAAGGAAAAAAAGTAGACCTAGGGAAATTACATTGAGTAAAAGATAAGTATTAAATGATTAGTTACAAAATAAAAATATAAAAAAATGTCGATTATATTCCTTCAAGACATTTTAAAAATAAGTTCATGAATAAAAAAATGTTTATGTTAAAATTATCTGGGGGAGAAACCCTTGACCCCCCGATTAACATGTGCTGAGAAAAGACAATAAATTATAATACATTTTCAAATATCCGCTTTAAGGAATTTTGTTGTGAAATGGCATCACAGCCTCAAATAAATACCACTACTTATTGACTGTGTGTGTTTTCAGGAGAGTATTTAAATTGAAGGTTTTATACTGTAACCAACCAACCAACCAACCAACCAACCATCCAACCATCCATCCATCCATCCATCCATCCAACCATCCATGCATGCATCCATCCATCCATCCATCCATCCATCCATGCATGCATCCATCCATCCATCCATTCAACCAACCATGCATCCATCCATCCATGCATGCATCCATCCATCATGCATCCATCCATCCAACCATCCATCCATCCGTCTGTCCAAATAGATATCCATCTGTCCATATAGATATCATTACAAATATATCATAAATAAAGCCAACAGGGAGTAATATTCTAATTAGGATATTTACCTTATGTTTAAACAACAACTCCTAAACTGTAATTATAAAACCAACCCTGGTGCTCCTGTGGATTTATTTACATGCATATTTGGGCACAGCGCATTTTGTTATGCACATGCCTACACAAAGTGTTTTACAACGCCGGGCTTTAGACAGAGCGGTGGGGATAAATATAGCACCGCGGCCTCTGAAGTCCAACGCTTCACAGTTGACACGACCTGGGAGTGATGGGGATGACACATCCCTCCCACACATCCCTCGTCTATGACTTCCATCGCTGGTTACACAACCAGCAGGACACCCACACACACCGATCCTCCCACAGGGCAACACACTCACTCACACACACACACACACACACACACACACACACACACACACACACACACACACACACACACACACACACACACACACACACACACACACACACACACACACAGCCTCCTCTCTTGGTTTCTCTCTGCAGCCAGCATACAGCTTGTAACATTACTGCCATGTTCGCAGAGTTTCTGCTGCCTGATTTACACTTAGGAGGGAGGAGGGAGGGAGGGAGGTGTGCAGGTCAGCTGTCAGAGGTAGAGCGGAGATATCACATAATGTGGGGAAGTGGAAACCTGGTGTCTGACGGGCGGTGAGTGGGAGGCAGGGGGAAAGAACGGGAACTAGAGGAAGAAGTATGTGTATTGAACCTTTCACATAGAACAGGGAAATAATTGTTGTCACACTGCATTGAAAAAAAACACTTCCCCAGGGTCCTGGCAAAGACATTATAAGGCATGGTTTGCATAACAAAACAGTACATCAGCAATTGAATGGAAATAGTGTTTGGACTACTGATTTTGGGCTAACTTTGAAACTATTTTGTGTGTCCAGAAACTTTCCCAACGAGTATCGTCATCATTTCCATCGCCTTCCATCATAGTAAGCATAGCCTCGTAGGACGCAGCCTCAACCATTGCATCGCCGACCAATTCCTTCGAATCCGGAGACTTGTCTGTTTTCCAACGTCTCAAGATAATTCTAGAAGCGGTCATCAAACCAATCATGATGAGAAAATGCACTATTTGAAATATGTGTATTTATTCTTCAACATATTCAACCTCAACCTCATTCCAAAATGTAACCATAGCCTATAGTGATTGGTTCAGAGCTAAGCTGTGAAATGTGATAAAAATAAGCATTTTGATTTCCCCCACAGTTTATTAGAAAATGTAACGTTTGAAAAGTTGCAAAAAAGCAATTTAACAGCGTTTCCTTGAACTGGTTGTTCACAGCAGCGTCAGAAGTAGGTGCTAGACAACTATGCAAGGCTTTAATTGTAAAGTAAACAAAGGGTAAGAAAAAAACTGCGTATTGGAAACAAAACAAACTCCTAAAACATCTACAAGATCAAAATGGACTTTAAGAATGATTAAAAAAATTAAATGTGTGTCAGCTTAGATATTATAGTTTCATAATGTCTGGACAATATAAATATATATATATGCGCTAACAGCTGGCTTCGTCATATGCTGGCCACGTCAGAATTGATTCAATGAAGGCGCTTTTCTGCATCCTATTTAGCCATTAACAAACATTTCGACTAAGTATCCATAGGTAGTGGGGTGTTTGCATTAGTATTCAGATCCAAGACACATTTTTACAGGTTCTTCCGTGGCCTATGCTTCACCAGTTCATTACGTGTCATGAAAATTAATATCCAAAAATATGCTTGTGTGTTTTCAACAAGTGCCAAATATGAAGAACTTCCCTCCAGGTGTTTTTAGAGATATCATGTTTACCAGAATGGGATGGACTCTTAACATAATGCTCTAAGCGGAGGCACCATTTAACAAACTACTTGTTGCACGCACGCACGCACGCACACACGCACACACGCACACACGCACACACACACACACACACACAGCCTCCTCTCTTGGTTTCTCTCTGCAGCCAGCATACAGCTTGTAACATTACACACACACACACACTCTCACACACACTCACTCTCACACACACACACACACACACACACACACACACACACACACACACACACACACACACACACACACTGTACCTGTTTCTGGTTGTTGAGGTGCATCTCGCGGTCGGCCACCTCCCTCCTCAGCCGGTCCACGTCCTGGCCGAGGTGCAGCCGGTCCTCCCGCTCGTCTGAAGCCTCGTCCAGCTGCTTGGAGAGGTAGAAGTTCTGCCGGTTCAGCTCGGCGTTATCCTGCGTCAGCGCCGTCAGCTGCTCCTCCAGATCTGTGATCACCTGCAGGACGGAGCACATTATCTCAGCATCAAACCAAATCGAAAGTCAACTTTGTAGTCAATCTTTCAGTTTGTGTGTACAGACAGAGACATCGAAATACCGTTTCACACAATCCCGAATAGAAAAATACAAATATATATTAAAATATGTATAAAATCACAAACAAATGGTAATATACAGAGTATCACAACAATCAGACGAAGCCCGAAACATTAAAAACCATGTTTAGCAACTCCTTTGATGAAAGGGGATCACAGCATCTTAACGTTGTTTCGGACTGTACGGACAATTTAAATTAATGCAATGTTTTAAATAAATTGTACGGCAGTGAAATTGACCTTTTTTATCTGCTAGTTAAAAGACAGGAAAATAAACAGGGCACCCAAAATATATAGTATATCACTTAAAAACAAACATAACAAACAATAATCAGGGTTTCTTCATTAAATGGTTACTCAAAGTGAAATAATGAAGTCTTAAACACTTACTGTAATGCATACAAGAGATACATATCCTGTTCCCCTTCTAAATAAAGTACATGTGACACGGAGACTGTGCAAAAGGGTCTGGAAAAGGATTCTCTGACCTACTGTATATGTTATGCATTTTACGATTCACAGGCATAATAAAAAGAGCATCATGCACTGAATGTGTGTGAGAATCATTTCAATGCTTCAGGAAAGGTTCCTGCTTCAAGGTAGTGGTTTGGTTCAGTGCAAGAGCCCTCACCCTGCAGAAGGTCTCTTACTGAAAGCTTGTGATAATTATTTCCCCGCTTCCAGAAACATCTTTTCATTAGATGGATCTAAGGTTAGCCCGAACCCTCTGACCCCAGGTTATTTACACACAGGATTACATGAAGCAGGTATCTGGGTTAGTGATATAATGCAGTGTGATATCTCCAGCCGAGCAGCCAGCCAATCATCTCATCAGTCTGTTCCTCCAATCAGCACTCAGACTGCTGTGCACTCTAATCATAATAGATTACATTTGTATAGCGCCTTTCCAGGAACCCAAGGCCTCTTTACACGGTGTGAACAAACAACCAAACAAACAAACAAGAAGGGCAAATAATAAAGTAAATAATAAAGTAACATTTGAATGAATGGCAGCGAGACGAGGGTTAAAGACCCCCCTTCCTCTCGTGGGACACATGTCTAAGGCAAGGCAAGTTTATTTTTGCAGCACCTTTCAACACAAGGCAATTCAAAGCGCTTTACAAAAAGACATTAAGAGCAAACATATTATAAAATGCATTTAAAAGCAAAGATAATAAAACAAGAATAACTGTTGGAGACATTTTTTTGTGTGGATAATAAATGTGTTATTTTCTAATTAATTTTAATCTATTGTTATTAATTTAGGAATTAGTATTGAATTAAATATTCGGATAATAATTTGGATTTATTGTGATCAATCAGCTGTTATATTTCATTTCATTTGTATTTGCTCCAATCATGGTACGCAAAACCCAATGTACAATAATTGCCAACAAAACATGTCTCTAGAAACACACTGTGAGAGGTGAAGGCCCTCCCTTTCCTCCATGGGACCTTATTTCGGAAAAAGTATGTATTGAAGTCAATGGAGAGAGAAATATTATCTTTCGATCCCGTTTGAATTGTGCCACGAATTACACATATGATGTTTGTCAATTTAAAAGATAATTTTGCAAGTCAAAAAAATCAAAATGTGTCGTAAAACTGTGAAGTAACACTTTGTGTGAAACGCTCAATGAACTACATCTCCCGTCTCGCTCCACAAACCAAGAGGCCGTCACGTTGGCACATTTCCCTTCTTTCCTTCAGAATGAGGCGAAAAGTATTAAAAGAGGTGAAAATCACTCCAAGTCTGGGCATGTTGAGAGCTGTACACACACAAGGGGAGTTAGTCGGTTCCTAAGAGCCAGCATGCGGGACCGGGATTCTGGGATTTGTAGTCTTTCTAGTATATTTATATTTCAACAGTTTTACGACAAACTGTGACTTTTTTGACATGGAAATAAATTTTTAAGATTGACAACACGTGTAATTCGTGGCACAATTCAAACGGGATCGAAAGATAATCTTTCTCTCTCCATTGACTTCAATACATACTTTTTCAGAAATAAGGTCCCATGGGGCGGAAGTGGATGGGCGTGACTTCGCCTCTCTATTGAGCGAAAAGGAGCAGGGAGAAGAAAACAATCTTAAGTGACCCGCCCCTTTCTAAAATAAATGAAAATCAATAGAAATAGATTTGTCTGCCCTTCATCATAATAATTTTTTTTCACAGCCAAACATAACAGTATCTTAGGATACTAAGAGAAACA